GTACCAAATAATAACCAGCCCTGATGGAAAGTCTGTGATTAGTGACGCATAATAACTTGGGCACATCCTCTCACTGTCTCTCCAGCCTATTCTGTGACAGCAGCTTCATACCATCAAGCTTGTCAAGATTTTCAGGGAAAAACAGTTTTTCTCTGTTCAGAGATTTATTTTTTTTGCTTCTACATTTAGAGCCCCATCTGTAAAACAATAAAAAGACTGATACACCACTTTTGTGGATTAATACATGAGTATGTCAGATCAGTTATCTTCAATAATTTTATCAAATGAATGATATATAAAGGTTTCAGACAGTATACTGTATCCGCCAGGGCTCTTTTTGTAGAAAAAGCCCAGCAGGAACTCATTAGCATAATAGGCCACACCCAACAGCAGAAACTCATTAGCATATTGGGCCACTCCCCTGACATCACAGCTCATTAGCACATTAGGCCACACCCCCATGTTGCCAGAAGTGTGGTTATCCAGCCACACCCACTATTTGCTCCTTATTCTGTTTACCTTGTTTGTTGTCAAAACCCAGGGCCTTTTTTTGTAGCAGGAACTCCTTTGCATGTTAGGCCACACACCCCTAATGTAGCCAATCCTAATGAGTTTCTGCTGTTGGGTGTGGCCTATTATGCTAATGAGTTCCTGCTGGGCGTGGCCAACTTGGGAGCCAGCCGGAACTCCGTTCCTGTGCGTTCCTGCCCAAAAATAGCCCTGTGTATCCCAGTCAGATACTCCTGGGGAGCCATGTCAACAACCTTCCCCACTGCCCCACCCACACAAGCCGCTGAGTCTGAGAAGCACACTGCCTCTGAACATGGTTGTTTCTTTCAGCCATCATGGGATGTTAGAAATAATAACTAGGGGCAGATTGGCCATTAAAGCCACCAGGAAAAGTCTTGGTGGGATGATGCCTGGTGGCTGCCCTGAGTAAGGAACAAATCACCTTATGTGTGCACAGGTGGATGGGCTCCACTGGCATGAAGATGAAAGGTGAGCACAAGCTACCACTGCGAGGTGGGTGGGCAAGGTAAGTTCAAGCAGCCCTCACCCTGTGAGAGGAAAGTGGCCTGGTTTTCCTTCCTCTCTTCTTTCATCCCTTGGGGCCTGGGGATGAAGGCAGTGCCCTTTTCCCCCAGGCTGCTTTTGCCTTCCAGTCTACCCCTAATAATAACTGTCTATGCAAACAACCAACACTTGGTTGTTTAAATTGTTTAATTTTAATTATATTTTTATGATGTTACCTGCCCTGAGCCTGCTTGCACGATGGGCAGGCTATAAATACAAATAATAAATAAATAAATAATAAATTTAAAAACAAACCAAAAGAGATTCTCCAAGATCAGCTCTCTAGTACTTTTTTTTTTTTTTTGCTTTTGCAGACATGGGAGGTCCTAATTCACACTGAGACAACAGTACAGGGAATGGAAGTCTAATTTTTCTTCCCCGACAACACTCCCTCCCACCCCAAACTGAACTTGGTATCACTGGATGAAATATGAAGACAGCCTACAGCAGAGTTGCCAAAAGAGTTTGGTTTTAAGCATTCCTAAGCAGCTTTTTTCCCTGGAGGGACCCAAAGTAGCTTCCTAAAGGGGAAAGTATCTAAATTACAAAAGCTTCAATCAAAAACCCCTGAATTGGTCCAGAGATCCCTTCACCAGAGGTCTTATGCTAAAAGCCAATAGCAAGATCTCTTCCCCCACCTCTGGTTGCACCCAAGGGCTTACACCTCTGGGCCTTCCCAGGTCAAACATTTGAAGAAAGATGAGGGGAAAGTCAGCTTAGATTGACTGCAGCTGCTGTTAGCCAGTTACTGCAAGAGAGCAGGATCTTCCTCATTTCCCTTATCAGTTCTGAGGGATTATTTAGAAAAGAAAATGCTGCAGTGGAAAGAACCAAACTCTGCCTGCCCTTGCTCAGTGGTTTTGATTTGAATCAGAGCATCCTGTGTCTGCCATTGAAAATAAACACAAAGAAGACCCAGTTGTGGATCTTACAGCATCTCATATGGTTTGCCCCCCCATCCCAAAATGCTTCAGAGAAAAGTGTTTATTCAAAAACACCAGGCATTATAACAGTTTATCATGGAACTTACATTACCTACACAAACAGCTCAAGGATAACTTCTGTTGCCAGTACTAAAACTATAGAAAATAAATATTTAGTATGTTACGAAGAGCACCACAACCATTTTCCTGAGGATTTCCATCTCTTTACATAATCATGACTTGGTCTTAGTCCTCCAGATTGCATAACAGAGTTGTTGTAGACACTTAACTGCTATGATGAGTTCCTGTGTGGTCTTCTTGAATTCGTCACATGGAACCAAGTAATTATTCAAAGTGGCAGCTGTCTGATTACAAATCCTTCCTTTACATGTCATGGATCCCATCACTGGGATGCTTCAAGATAACAGAAGATCTCTTGCCACTATCAGCTCTGAGGAGTCAAATATCCACCTCTGGACAGTAAACCTAACTTTACTAACAAACACGCATGGCAATTCTGGTGTTCATAGCCAAGTAAGAACTCAGTCTGTAATCACTGAATTAGGCTTTGCCTGTTCCTCTTAAATCTTAAATGTTGAATCTCACTATTGACCGATTATAGATTGGCCTGTTTGATTATTACATATTGCATTATGGATAGTCCATCAACAGTGTTAGTTATTGTACTTGTTTTCCTTCCTTCTTCCAGAGATGAAGGTAGCATATACTCCCCTCCTTCTCCCATTTTATTCTTGCTGAGATAAGTTAGGCTGAAAGACAGTGACTGACTTAGGAGCACTCAGAAAATTTCATAGCAGACTGGAAATTTGAACCCAAATTTCCTCAATCCTAGTGTGACACTCTAACCACTATGCCACACTGGCTCTGAATCCCATTTACTCTAGAAAGGATCCGATAATTTCAGAGGGGCATTGATTTGGTCTACTTCAGTGTTTGCAGTCTGAAGATTATGGTGTAGCCTACAGATCACATGAACAGATATAAACTTTCTTTTTTGCTGTCAAGTCACAGTGAATTTATGTGACCCCTTGGGGTTTTCATGGCAAGAGACGTTCAGAGCACTGCCTGCTTTTGTGTCTGGTATTCCTTGGTGGTCTCCCATCCAAATACTGACCAAGGCCAACCCTGCTTAGCTTCCAACATCTGACGAGGTAGGGCTATCCTGGTCAGGGCAGATTTAAACTATCTTACTCAAACTGAAATACATATAAATAATTTGTGAATCACAACTGTTCTCACTAATATTAATATAGAATCTTCCTCTTTCTACCCTAGTTAAACCCTAATTTATATATACCACATGGTATCACTATGAGTGGCAATGCCATTTTATGTATGGGTGGGCTTTAGTACTAACTCACAGTGTCTACGTTTACAGCAGAAATCTTCTATTAAAAGAAAAGGTAACACATTTTTTTTCTAGGCCAGATGTTGAAAATACTCACAGAAATCTCAAGTGATCAACATCACTGGTTAGTAGGATAAGGATGTCAGGTCATTAGTACATCATGCCCAATATTGTCTTCTGTGCAATGGTTCTACAAAGTTTTTGACTTGGAATTCTTCTAACCCTTATAAGTGGAAATAACAAAAGACTGAGACCTAACCAGTTTTTTTTAAAAAAACTAAGCCATTGTTTAGGCTACAGTTGTAATTCACTTCAAATGACAGAATGAAAATAGAAATGCTAGTCTTGCTCTATCCAAAACTTTGCACTGAACTGTACAAGAGTTCTACTGCAGGGTATAATGATACAGAGCTTACCGTTTTCTCTAGGGGAACTGACCTCTGCCATCTGAAGAGCAGTTGTAATTCTGAGTGATCTCCAGCCCTCCCCTGGGGATTGGCAACAATGGTTCCCCAGGAGGAAATGGCTTGTTTGGACGGTAGAATCTATGGCATTGTACATGTCTTGGAGGTAGCAACCCAATCTCTTTCCCAACCAACCATCAACATACCATTATCTACCCCTCTGACTTCAGCTTTACATCTCCCCTCCACACCTGGAGCCTCTACCTAGGAAAAGTACAGTCTTTCACCTCCTCAGTGGGGATTCAAGCAGGAGGGGAAGTGACCTCAGCAGGGTATAATGAGTCTGCAAAGCAGCCGTTTTCTCCAGGGGAACTGATCTCTGCCATCTGGAGAACAATTTTAATTCTGAGTGATCTCCAGCCCTCACCAGGAGAATGACATCAATGGTCCCCCGGGAGAATATGGCTGGTTTGGAGGGTGGAGTCAACGGCATTGTACCTGTCTGAAGTCCCACCCCTCCACAAACCCCACCCTCTCCAGGGTCCATCCCTCAAATCTCCAGGAATTTCCCTACCTGAAATTGGCAACCCTATCTGCTTCTTAGTCAACCATCAACCTACCTTTATCTGCCCCTCTGACTTCAGCTTTCCATCTACCTCTTCCTAGGAGAACTACACCCCAACTACAGTCTTTCTCCGCAGTGGGGACTCAAGCAGGAGGGAAGTGACCTCAGTAGGGTATAATGACACAGAATCCATCCTGCAAAGCAGCTGTTTTCTCCAGGGAAACTGATCTCACCTGGATATTTGCAGCTAATGGCAGCCAATGGGAGAGCTGGAAATGGCCAATAGGTAAGGGAATTATATATATAGGATCAGTTCTTTTATTTATTCATCTTAAAGCTTATTGGCTATCAAGGGGACTAAATTAATTTCATCTGATCCAAATACTTATTCCTTCTCACTGTTTTCAACCTTTGTATTCAGAATTACCATAGTTTGTTTCTTCTGTCTCATGTTTTCATAAGTGATTCAGCTAAATAAGAAAGAAAAAAAAGCCAGAACCACTGACTGCAGAAAAACCTAATGTGCTGCATAACCAGAATTAAATGTGATAATGAAGTTTCCACTGCTGGAAGAATTTTTGCTATTTGATGTATGTAGTTAGAATGATGTCCACACAACCAGTACAAATAAAAGTTATGTCTTTTAAAAAAATTTCTCTGGAGCAGGGGCTGTGGCTTAGTGGAAGAGCTTCTGCTTTTCATGCAGAAGATCCCAGGTTCAATCCCTGGCATCTCGTGTTAAAAGGAGTAGGTGGTAGATGATGTAGAAGACCTCCACCTGAGACTTTGGTGGGCTGCTGCCAGTCTGAGGTCCTGTTCATACGAGCCGTTTGGGCCGGGAGAAGGACGGATCAGGGCCGGAACAAACGGGCGCGATCCCACAGCAACATCTGGGGAACGTCGTGCTTCCGTCTCCGATCCGTCCCATCCCGCCCATACAGTGCAGCAAAAAAGAACCACCTCCTTAGGTGGTTCTTTCGGATGGGCGGCGGCAAGTGCGGCCGTGGGATCGCCGGTGCGTCCTTGCGCTGGCGCATCCCCGGCTCCTGGCCGAACTGCGCATGTGTGAGCATGCGCAGTTCGCCAGGCTCCCCTT